TGCTGTCTGACCAAATCATTAGCTTAATTTTTTGATGTCATTTGTAAATGAGATCGCATACGTTACTTATTTAGAGAGTCTGGAACCATTTTTCAAATCATTGGGTCATTTTGTTAAACATAATAGACGAACACTAAAAAATTGTATGTACATTTTTGTTACATGTGAATATTTGTTAACGTCAAACCCGGAATAGCTAAAAGTTACAAAAATAACCATTTTTTACAAGCATTTGAAATATTGTTTGTATTAAGCGCTAATTAACAGGCTTACTTCTGACGAAATAAACGAACTGAATCAAAAGCATTGAAATCGAATTGTGGGTGACCCTAAAAAGGACTTTTTCTTGGTCTCTTAACAGTTCAAAGTTTCCTGAACAATCGCGTGACTATGATTGCGTAATAGCGCCGCACATGGGACAGAAGGATCTACGGAATTGGGGTAGTGGGTCGTAAGCACAAAACAAGTGAAACATTGCATTGCAGCGACAAACAGTCCGAGCCCTTCCATCAGGAGTTTCACTTGACGGCTGAGCAAGATTGCAGATGTCACAAAGTCTGTCGTAGTGGACACGTTCGTCAGTGTCGTTGTCTCGGTCACTGAATTCTGAGCACCTGATAATATCCATATTTAATTATTAATTAATTGTAGACTTCTTAGTAATTGAAATTAAAGAGTTAATTCATGTTTTTGATTTACGTTATCATGTAAATCGAAAATTATAATGCGATCAAAATTGATATCTTCAAATACGTTATGTAACAATATCAGTGATACAAGTGACTTTTAGTGGGTCCCCATGTTTTAAATAATGAATAATTCGAAGTATAATAATCTATGTGATGTTTAATATTTGGACTGATCCATATTATGAACAACGAAGACTACGCCCATCATGATCATTGATTTTTAGTACCTTTTGTTTGCTAAGAAGTCTGACCTCGATTCATGTGAACCTCGAAAATCATAGTAAATAAATAATCATAACTATTTAATACGAACAGATGGATGTCTGATATCTATCAGACTCTAGGCTCCATGTGCTGGTTAAAGCGTCATTGGTTCGGCACAGGGCTAAGGTCGGTTTGGCGATCTTGTCATGGGTTAATTAATAGAGTGAAGGTCACAGGACCGGTAAAATTGTCGTTCGTAGAAATAGTAATTATTTTTAGAGGAAGAGGAAGTAAATAGCAGAAAAAATCCCGTCGTATGTTTTCCTGTTTCATTTACTTGGTACTCAAACTAGTTCAACCACTTCCTTTATTAGAATGATGTAATGTCATAAGTTTTCTACTTTATTGAGTAGTTACATCTTTAGCCGAAGCTCGGAGATATTCTGGTATTTTAATGCGTTGTATCGTAGTTTCCGTTACTATGTTAAGCCCAAATAACTTATTCTAGCTTCTGGACAAGCCGGTTTATTCATACTACTCGAGTCACATTTCGATCTTGTTAATTATTCGCTTATCAACCTTGACTGTTTTGATATGGGCGTATGTGTATGCATTTCTCATCTTGCTCATCAAATGTCTGTAACTTATTTTTATCTGATTCTAAATATTGACTAACACTTGGTTAAATCGAGTTGGCTTACATGCCTTATCCACCGCGTGTCTTTTCGCTTAGTTTCTTCGATCGTTTCTCTGGATCAATGATTTTATGAAATATACGTATTGGAAATCCATTCTCACATTTGACTCATGTAATTCCATTATTTACTAACGCAAATTAGTCGGCAATTATATACGAGGATTGGTGACATGTATAGCTCAATGTAAATCAATTATACGATCTAACGAGTCAGATATCGGGCCATTAAAGATTTTGAGGTCATCAATTTTAGCGTTTCTCTATTGATTTTCAATGTAAATATGTACATATTAAAAGTTTAGTGAATATATATGAACTAGATGACGACATATTACTTAATAATCATGATATTTCTGTGTACCAAATGAAATAAAATGCGATTTGTTTGAACTGTTATTTGGACAATTTCATCCACGATTATTTATGATTTTTTAATAACATTATTTAAGCAAACACGAAAATCTACCTACTATTGTAATTACATAAACCTCATCGCGGAATCAATGGACTTTGAGTGTTTTTTGTAGTTTTCCCTGAAAATTACCAGTAGTGAAACTGGAAATCATAAACTGTTCAGCAGATTACTTCCTGTTAGTTTCCCCATTACATGAACAGGACGATTTCTTACATATCAGCTTTGAGATTGACTGTTCATTGATCAATACAAAGCTGACGCATAAGATTTTGATTGTGCTTTTGAAGAATACGAGTAAGATGTACCCATTAAGGACGAGGAACATTTACATCATAAACCGATTGCCTGAAGTTTATGAACTAGGAATCTGGTGGGAGATGTGTACTTTGACACGCGTTTCATGAGAACTAGCAGTTTTAGACTAGAATGAAATATGTCTTATTTTTATTGACTTATAGGTATTCTTCGAAACTAACTTCTGGTGGCTGAAAGTAATTAATTGCCCTTGTTGATTTCTCATAGTCCATGAAATACGATGAGAAGTTTCAATCACTAAATTTTACATGATACTACAGATACTTGAAACGAGTTTTCCAAGACATTAAACTGACAAACTGAAATTTCTGCTGCTATCTTTGTGACACATCACATAACTGACACGTAGTAACAGTTTCTCATCTGAATATGGATATTCTCATCAACATTCCCTGAGTGCAGTATCTCTCACCTCACATAATGGTACATTATAAAATAGGCTAATTCAATGCTATAACAATCAAAACATGATGTTAATTTACTTTATGTTATGTTACCACAATGTATGAGAGTTGTATATAAAATAATCTAATTAGGTTAGATTCAAGGATTGAAATTTTAGTAGGATTTGGTCTGTTTGGTTTATAAGTTATGGTTTAGACCATATTATTAACTAGGATGACATTATTAACTACATAAAAATAACTGTATACATGATGGACAGTAAAGTGTTGAAGACATGATGGTTACGTAAATTTGAGTAATTAATCAGATGAAACTTACATAGAAATGTGATATTTCTTCGGTTGTTTTACAAACGTGAATAGTTACCATATTGTAAATTTAGAACATATATAAGCGAATAATATTGTTTTCGATTACATCCTGACCAGGTTTCACTCGAATATACAGTAATATTTATGTGCATATGCGAAATTATTAAACCAGTCAAGGTAGTTTATGAGTCAATGATAAAAATGGAAAAGACTACATAATAAGTGAAAAGTAAAGATTGGTAGTGTGATAACAGGTGTACTAGTTTTTGATAAGAATAATAAAGGCCTAAATCAATGTTACATAATCGGAAATAGGTCAATGATTAAAAAAATATAGACAGTGAGATAACATTTGTAAAAATTGTAAGATTGCGCAACAAGCTCGATATTGGCCCATTTAGTACGAACTAGTCATAGTGCTAGTGTAAACCAATCTTTCTCAATTATTTACAAGGTCGGTAATTTTTTGCCAAAGCTTGTCAAACTTAAAGTCCTTCAAACGGCTGAAGCAGTAGCCATCCGGATGAAGAAACCGGAGTTATGCGTACAGAAATATCTTCAACCACTCCTTCTTCCCTGGCCAACATCAAGGTCAATTAATCAATAGTAATCTTAACAATTGAATGACTTAACATGACTACGACCTTTCGTAGTAAATTGTAATCTTTACTCGCAAATCTTTGTTTTATTATTACTATTGGTTAAGCATCATTATTAATCTCCTCTATACATGATTCATTCACTTCGCATTTATACCTCCTTATTACATCTTAATAATTTTTCACAGAATATAGCCTACCACTAAACATCTGACCGAACTGTAATTGCACTATTATTTTTCTCTGATTGAAATCATGAGTCAATTGAAGCTAGGCCACCATGGAAAATCTGGAAGCATTGAACGACCGTTTCGTCGTAGTACGGGTTTCCTCAACAGTGAGCATCCACGATCCCGAACCCCGCGAGATTCGAACCCAGGACCTATCAAGCCCTCAATACCTTTTTTCTCTCTCAAACCTACGCTTCATGCTCTAATTATCAGAACACTTCTTATTACGCAATCTTACAATTTTTACAAATGTTATCTCACTGTCTATATTTTTTTAATCATTGACCTATTTCCGATTATGTAACATTGATTTAAGCCTTTATTATTCTTATCAAAAACTAGTACACCTGTTATCACACTACCAATCTTTACTTTTCACTTATTATGTAGTCTTTTCCATTTTTATCATTGACTCATAAACTACCTTGACTGGTTTAATAATTTCGCATATGCACATAAATATTACTGTATATTCGAGTGAAACCTGGTCAGGATGTAATCGAAAACAATATTATTCGCTTATATATGTTTTTCTAAACGTGAATAGATAGGGTTAATCTTATTAGTGAGTATAGGACTTACAGAAAGTTAGTCTCACTTCGAATAGCTTAAAGTTACCGTTTCTAGTCATAAGAATGAGCGATGTAGGTTAAAATTTCACAAAAAGTTATTTCCCGTAAGACTGCTGATATGACATGCTAACGAATATCAACTAGTTTATATAAGTAGCAATGTTGAATTAACATAATGCTCTTTTTGAACTCTTAAATTTCATTTAGCCAATTATGAAGAAGTAATAATTTACTATTGGTGTAGCAATATTACGCAAAATGTTTTCTGTATCACGAAGAATAAATCCAAGTACAGTAGGTGGCCTAGCGCATTAACAATAGACTTTAGTAGGGGTAAATAACAAAAGTCTATCAATGCCTGACATTCAAACACTTATTATGTATTAGTGATTTCAGTCAATGGGTGACACCGATTTTGGTACTAGTGAAAGCCAAGGGGCGTTAGACTTTTATCGTCCTAAAAATATTGAAATAAAAATCTATCTACTCCAATTCAGTCTGACAGCAACTTATTCTGCTCCCCATACCCTCCTCCGACCTTCGTATAGTAAAGAAAATACGCATGACAAACAATATCTGAGACTTGGAAGATAATGTAACTTAAACACTAATAATAGGTATAAATTAAATACAATTATAAAGCAATGTGGTAAAATACATATGTTAGTAAAAGCACTACAGAATTAATGTTAAAAATAAATTTTCCGCAAGATTATTTGTTACAATGTACGAGTATTACATAAATTATTAATAGCATGTTTGTAAGAATTTCATCTCTTGTTTTACTTTACACATCACTTATTTACATATCTCTTTGAAACCACGTCGTTTTCTTTCTAATCAGCTGATGGAATTACTTTGAGTTGTTCAAATGATGCCTTTTCTAATGATTCTCTGTTTTTGAAAAAAAAGAATGAATCAATTAGAAAGAATCAGTTAAAAAAGAGATGACAAAAAACATCATACACAGCACTAACTACATGATAACGCTGGACTTGTATGAGAACATTTATTCACTATTGAAAGAAGTAGACACAAAATAGGTATAGCTGATCAATCATTATTATGGAATTCATTATGCCGAAATCAATTAAGTTGGAAATTATGAAATTGGCAAAACTAATCTGTGACCGTCGTGAATTTCATACTTTCTTAGAAAGTTGAGTAGATGTAAATCACTGTTAAACTTGGTTATTACTGCTTAGCTGTTAAGACTGTTAATAGACAATATGAGTGGTACTATATTTTCTGAGATGGATGGTCTATTCAAAAAATGTTCACTGTCTTTCTAGATAACAACAACACCACAAGCAACTAATGGACGGATACTGCATGAACGTTTACAACACACTGCTAAAAGATGATGGACTTCAATGCACGGTGATATGGTATTATCATATCATTATGAAGTTTTACTACTCAAAGAATCCGAATATCAGAATAGTTTTGCAGATAAGACTAATCTCAAGCAAACAAATTTATGAAAATATATATTTATGAAGATAGATATTAAAATAACAAACGAGTGTCCATATAAAAAAGGAAGTACGACTTGGTTACCTGTGATCTGGATGAGCAATCTGAATAAGAGCATGTGCGCGCTGCCTTAAACTACGTCCAAATAAATAGGCGATACCATATTCGGTGACAACATAGTGAGCATGAGCTCGAGATGTTACAACACCGGCACCAGGTTTAAGATATGGAGAAATTTTACTTTCACCACGTTTTGTCGTAGATGGAAGAGCAATTATAGGTTTGCCTAAACCATCTTCAGCTATTGCAGCCCCACGGATGAAGTCAACTTGACCACCAAATCCTTTAATCAGAATAAAACAAGACATTATGGACATTTTAGTATGAGCTCAATTATCATCATTAGCATACCGAAACAAAACTTTCATGAAAGAATCACACGCAAGAATGATTTACTAGTAACTGAAGACTGGATGTAGTATTAAAAAAGGACCGAGAGATATTTTAACTTTGGCAAACTGTTCATCAGATATGGCGAGTTGTAGTATGTTCCGATAGACAGACCAGATATTTTGTTTATTTAAGCAGTCTGTGAAAATGCGAACAATTCGGGGACATCTTTTGCAATGGAATATAATCAGCTATCGTAAGTTTATAAGGCTAAGAAATCTCAAACGATGGATGAAAAAAACGATGAAAATTAATACTATTTCACGTGGATAGAGTTTTGTTAAGATTAATGTATATGTACCGAAGGTTAGCTTGGATCCGAACTGTTTATGTGAGGGTTCATGATAACGAGATGGTGGAGAAGATTTGTAGCTCAGATTCATGATAACATCTAGTTACCGAACATGAAGTGAAGTAGGGTTCAAACCAGGGACCTGATGGTTTAAAATCGAGTTTACAATTATTCGTATAGGGAGTTTGTAGAGCCTATCGAATGATATTGACATCATGAGCCCACTAGTCAGTTTCTGGTATCACGGAGTTACCTCTAAATTAGTCACTGGTGAGCAAATGATGATTCAAAAGACTTTAACTAAACATTGTGGGAAGTCTGTGCTTGGTAATATGTGACTTAAATAGACGGATGGTTTATAGCAACAAGAAAAAAGAAATAGTCAAAACGAATGAAACAATGTGTACTTCAAATTTACCTGAGTAGATTCTACTGCCAACAGAATCGGATACAATTTGGCCAGTTAGATCAACTTCAATGCATGAATTAATGGAAACCGGTTTTGGATTTCGGGCTATTACAAAAGGTGAATTAACCCAGGCCACATCACGGAATTCTTCAAAAAATAGAAACCGAGAATTACTGTTATGATTCTTAGATGATTACTGACTACATAAATTTGGTATTCCAATTAGAGTTTACATGTGAATTCAGTTTACAGAAGTTATACGTGAAACCCTTGGCAAGTAAGTTACGATAATGGGGTCAGATTTAAACTCCAATTAAAAAAGTCACACAAACATACTTCATTTGGATCTGCAAAATGATTTGATTAGTGTTTATCAGTGTTTTTAATAGACGAAGATAGATCATGATTTTATAGGTTTTAACTATTTGGATATTTATTCTGTTGTGGTCAAGTTAGAATAAGTCACCTGATGGATCATGATTAATTCATGGTTAGTTTACTGTGAATTCATATCTTGAGTTTCTCCAAGATACAAAATAATCATCACTCATTTATTACTGGCATGTTTACGTTACATTTTTTGTATGGCATAGTCGATACAGATTGCGTATGAAACAGTTTCATCTATAAAAGTCGTACATAATACATCTTTAAATGGAGCAAAATGCTGTAGTTCATCCTCAAGTTATTTCTAACAAAACTAAGAGAAATGTATTAAAAAGCATCAATTCGCTAAAAAAAGGTAAATAAAATTACGATTTAAAAAAATCAAATTTGTCAAGAGTTTCCTTTTTAGGAAAAATCGGAAAGGTATTAAATAATTTTCTATTACTGTTGACTATATATTTAAGATATGATATTTTATGAAGCTAAAAGACGAGTTCAATAAAGCCTATTTCATACTTTTGTAAATGAATATATTGAACTGGTCTGTGAATTAGAAGAATGTTCTTACTAATATGATGCAGACAGTACAAAGTATTGGGGATAGAACTCATCAAATGATTTTCTTGTAATCAACTAAGCAAACAAACATTGCACTTTAGCTTCGTCCTACATTTTACGCAATCTTTAACTTTATTTCCGTTCCCTTAATTGTTGTCACACTGTCACTTTTCTGACCATGTTTATCACTGTATGTCAAAATGTATTGTTAATTTTGATACTGAAATATAGCACATTATTATAAGCGGCTGATGAAAACCTTGAAAAATAAAATGAATTCATGTTATTCTATCCAAAGAACTTTACCCGCTTTATTCTATAGCATGAAATGAACCAAATCTATAAAGTTAATCCATAATACAGAGAATTCAATACAAATAGAATTCATTGGCGTGTACATATGATCATTTAATATTTGGTCACATGTTTGAAACTGGTCCCAAACATTAAAATTCCAGCAACTGGATAATATTATTGGAATTAAGAAGACGTTTAACTAGTATCAAAATACACGAGCAAATATGCTACTTTTTAGTCCTGAAATACGTTAATTTCGAAACATTATCAAGTGTTATCGAAAATAAAAAAGGCGTTAGTGATCATAAAACCATTTCTGGCTTAGATCATTCTAATCCATACAAAACAAAAGAACAAGACTATATGAATAAAACTGTTGATGGGACTAAAAATTATAATCTAAGGTGATTTTTTCACAACAGCGATACAGACACTTTGGTTTTGAGAATCTTTAGTCATTTTAAACAGAATTCGTTCCAACTTGGAGGTTTGTGGAGAGAAAATACATAAGAGAAGCTTGGTTAAAAATAAAAGGAATATAGGTGTGTAATTTAGTTTGTGGAGTAGTTGTAAGTTGACAACAAGCAGATCTTAAAACCTGACTGGCTATGAACGATTAACAATAAGTTTCCTTTCTGTTCATTTGAGAAAAGTAGAGAGAATTGTCTTCTCAAAATACGCACAAGGTAGAACTGAAAGAATTATGGACAAGTGATGTCTACGGAATCGGACTTGGTCTAACTGCGTTAAGATGCCTAGAAAAGGAGAAAACGTACGCAATTTATTATGGTACTTTAAAGAGTTAAATATATATGGTTCGAGAATATTCTTTTCAACAAATTATCTTCAAGACCTATGGTTGTCTGTCCCAATTGATGATCCAAAAAAGTGGCCAGGTTTAAGGCAAATACATCGTCTAAAATTATAGTACGTGAACATATGATTGTTTATAAATTAAGGAAAAATTGTTAATTTTATTTAAATCACGAACCAATCTAAGTTAGACAACAACTGAAAACATGAAAGCGCTGGGCAGAAGGCTTGAAAAGAATGTTCATCGTCCACTTATCGGTGTTTCAATGTGATGGGGATTTATAAACGGCTAGTATATTGATTAGTATTCTGTAAAGTTTATCTGAAATACCTTATAAAAACAACAGTAAAAATTTAACTGTAGAGACTCACCAATCAATGGGTTATCATGTAAAAATTTAAAAACATTCTCTGTACCAATGACAAAACTCGTGACAACTTTCCCTGGACGTACTACCTTGTTCGCATTTGTTATAACACCATTTTCAACTAGTTTAATAATTCCATCTGAGAACATTTCTGTGTGAACTCCTAAGTTTCGATGGTTGGAAAGCTTATTTAAGACTGAATCTGGAATTGCCCCAATACCTATAATGTAAAAGTGATGTAAGGATTTTGTAAATAAAACCCAGTGGAAAGTCTTAGGAATAAAAATTAAAGTTTACCACGAAAAATGATGAATATTACATTATGATAGAATGTATAGCCAAAAGTCACTTTTGGAAACAATGAATTGGAAGATATTGACTGATATGACAGATCGTATTACTAAATATACACTGGCATGAAGCAGTGTCTAGTTTTTTTCTTTAATCGCTATCAAGACTAGCTATGCAGGTAATTGTGTGATAATGATTGTTATTAATTTTCACTTATTGTGGTGATGTGGATTGTGACAACTTAGGTTGATCCATATTTGTGTCGAGTTCTACACTTTACGAAGAATATGTGCTCCAATAAGTGCTCTCGAGTACTAAGTATTTGAAAAGCTTTTTTAGTTGAATAGGTATAAAGTCACTAGTATATTAGATAGAATAGACTAAGTCCCCAAATGCCCAGGTAAGGCCGAGAGTGGGGAGAAACCGCTCTCCCTCTCGAAATGCTCTCACATGGCCACATGTATATAGCCTCAGCCAGGGAAGTCCTACTCACTACTTTCTTGTGTCGGGGGTGTTGTTTATGGAATTGAGAGGACAAAAAACGAATGTGCGGCGCTCTAATCGGGTTGGTGGACACGGAGAGTATGAACCAATCGCTGGCCACCGGTTACCATGGGACTGCATCTCCTTACGTTGTTCCACTGCCTTATGGATCAGAACATTAGGTCGAAGGCTTCAGGTGTGGTCCCCTAAGAAAACCACCTGCTTCGGTTTGGGCACCCGGGCAGTATCACAGCCCTCACACAAATCAAATGAGGTTTGTGTGGCGCATATGTATCTGGTGCCTCCCTGTACCAGTATTTGTGTTTAAATAAATAAATAAAATAAAAAGAATAGACTAAAGTATCAGGAATGAGACTGTCCTAAAAGTATTCTAGTTAGATAAAAGTTATCTCTATTAAAAACAATCAGATACTTCAGTGAGATCGAGAGAATTTTCCAATTATAGTGGCAAGATTTAAACATCCAAGCTTTGGCTAATCGGTTTGGAGATTTTAATGAATTAAGAAACCCGGTTGTTAGTTAGGTCACAACCGAGCGTTATCTCTTCATACAGAAAACAGTCGTAACGCAATAAAACTTTAATTCCATTAATACTAGTAAATCTTACACAAATATGGTGCTTGAAGTAGTAATAAAAATTAGAATGCGAGGAACTTCAGCGTTTATGGATATACGCGATTTAATGACTTGCGAGAAAACAACTGTTTAGGTGAAAAATAATTACCTTTAAAATGTTTACTAACCTGTTTGCAGAGTGGCACCATCATCGATTAGGTTATCTGCAATCAATGCGCCGATTTTATCTTCAACTTCGGTCATTTGTCGTGGATTCATAAAGTGACAAGGCATATCTCCGTGGATGATCGACGTGAAGTTACTTATGTGTACATGGGCATCTCCAGAAGTGACTGGTAAGCTCGGATTTATTTGACCTTTAAGAGTTATAGTACGATAGTAAGAACTTACCAACGAGGTGCTTAGCTGACTCAATAGCAGCACGAGTAACATCTACACTTGGACCAAGAGAACAATACCCGTTAACATCCGGAGGACTGATATTTAGTAATGCTAGGTCGAGTTTTATGATATTTCTGCGAAATAGGAGTGGTATTTCACTCAAAAATATAGGAACATAATCGGCTCTTCCACTCTTGATTGGATCTCTACAATTGCTGCCTGTAGAAGGACAGTAATGTTATGTATTTTATACCTGTGAAAAGTGACACAGATCGGACGTGACTACTTGCTTCAGGATTGATAATTGGAAAGGGTCCCTCTGTATGAATGTGGTAAGCCGATATATTCTTCAGCTTCTTAGCCATCACATAGTTATAAAATTCCGAAATAAGTATTGTAGGTGTAGCTGCGCCGCCGTGAATAAAAACTTTGGCACCTAGTTTCAAATACAATTATATTAAAGTCGGGCAACTTACCATCATTCAAAAAATTGAAAGCTTGCTCACCATTCAAAGCTGTCTTCGGCAAGCTCCCAGCAACGACAGCGAAAGGCTCTCTTAATTTTATTTTTTCAATTTTGTGTTTTGACTCATGGTGTAATGCTCTCTGATATTTGCTGGGTAGAGCGACAAAAGTGACTTTGCTGAAATAAAACTGTCGACAAACTGAAAACATTTGCTTTTTTGAGGCCGAGTAAGATCTGTTTAGTTCTAAATACAAAAAGTAGGAATGATACAGCTTTAATATAAAAATATACATCTTAATGATCATTCACGTATTTTGAAGGTTAAATGTGCACTTATAAAAAGGATCTTTGTACTTTTACTAGAATAACGAGTTGTGGAACTCAACCCTTTAAGTTATGATACAATGGAGATCCAGGAGCGATCATCTTTCTGAACTGTTTAAAACAAAACACAATATTTGATGTTAAGCAAACAGTTAACTGGCGACCATTCATATCTTTAAACACTGTTCAGTTAAATAATGAGAATTAAATTAATTTTCCCAGTTAAGAAATGAATAAAGTCACTTCTGGAAAGCGATCAGTTGATAGCCTTTTTCGCCTAGTTACACTTGCGATCGATCCCAGAAAAGAGATTATTCAAGATATAACAATATGCAAAGTTAACAATAATATACCATAAAGAACTATCACTACGATCCTCAGTGTCTGTTTACTAGTAGAGCAGAAAGTAACATATTACGGTTACAATGCAAATTGAATATTATATAACAAAATGATAACAGTTATTATGAAATGAATGTTACTTGTAAGCTGCTCTCAGAGTTCATATGATTAACAAAGGTTCCTATGAATATGGTCGAACCAACGGCGTAATGAGAAAGACTAAATCCGATAGTATTACGTGGTAATAATCCGTGCCAAATACCCAACGTAGTGCAAAAAGACTTAAAAGTATGTTACGACGCTAGTAAAATCCTCAACCACCAACCACGGCCAGTAAAGCAGACGTCTAGCTTTCAAAAGTCGCGATTGTGCGTCGTATATATATTCATTATATCAGTTTCTTTGTCATCGATACAGAGAAACAACAGCTATTGGATATAAATATGGTTACACATAAAGTGCGAAACGTAGAGAAAAATTGATCTGTTTTGTCGCTAAAAGTCGCTGATTATCCACGGCACAGTACAGTTCTACTTTTGGGTTGACCCAAGCTGACAAAAATTGGGAATCAACAACCGAACTGATACAAAGATGAAATAATATTAAACCTACCAATCGATATTTATAATAACCACGTTGCTGTGTTGATCTCCAAAGAAAATAAAGTAGACTCTTTATGTGAAGTGAATGCCACTTCACACAAGAGTCGTAATACACTTTCATTCATGGTCAATTTTTACCAACATAAGAAGCATAGAACAGACACATTGCCTCCACTTACCTAAGTGGATAAGTGGAGTTGCTGGCTCTGACCAAGGGTTCGACCTGATGATTTGTACCCTTCAAAAGTACAGTTGCTTAATCGATCCCCATGGTATATGATCAAATTATTTATTACATACAGTGTTAGTATGAGAATTACTAGCAGATATATTAATCACACAGGAAAATAAACACTGAACAATGTATTGACGGATGAATGTTTGCTAAAAACAAAAATTCATGTTTATTTAAGTTAAAATCTGTGCTGGTAGCAAACAGGTACACAAGACTAAATGAAGCTAAAGCTTAGAAACTTATATAAATGTAAGATCCATTTTGAATGCTTTGTGTGTTTGTGAAAATCCCTCCATGTATATACTTGCACTTTGTTCCTATTGATCCTCTTAATTGTACATTGTTAACTTTTTGACTACATTTGAATTGTTAATATTTATATTTATTATAGTTTTCGTTTTTACCACACCTTCACTAATTCCCCGTGTTTCTTCCCGAACTGCACTTATGTTGTTTTACTTTATGCTAAGTCTGGGCGGCAGCCATTTTGGTTTGTTCTTGCTTTTGATTGTTTGACCTGTGTTGACTGGAATTGTGCATTTTGGTTGTGAATTGAAGCACTCTTTCAGAATTGAAAACACTCTGTGTTATAAAGCGATCAATTATTACCTTTTCAACGAATCTGTACGTGATCTATCCAGACAGGATAGAATAACATTTATTTGTGGTGACTGGTAATTTTCTTGCATCCTTTATTAACTTTCTTATTTATTGTAGTTTAGATTTGATCAATTGAACAATTATTGGTTGGATAGCTGAGTGGTTATATTTGTTTAGGTAATAATGTACACTTAAATTTTTGATAAATTATAGAACCGTCATCGGGCGAGGGCTCGTATCTAACTCATACAGACAGCTGTCCTTCAATCCAAACCGTAGTTGGGATCTTACAATAAAGTTAAAGAATAATGCAGATTAATAACTTAATTCCTCATTTTACAAATGGACATTACACGCCGATGCCTTTAAACAAAGCCTTAAGTGTGTTATAAAATGCTTATGTCTCAAGAGTGACACGAAGTTAAAATCTCGCAGCCAGATTTAGTTCACAGGTTGGAGTTTTTATTTTGGAAAACACTTTAAGACATTGGAAATGTAGAATTTCAAAGTAATTAGGGAAATTGAATGATCAACCTCATCACTATATAGTCGGCCACATCTTTAGTATGACTAGTAATGAGATGATGCAAGTGCCCAAACCAGACTGGAAAGTGATTTTCAAATGTGAATCTGGTGATCGGAATTGCAATGATGTGCTACAATGTGAATTAACGTAATTTTCCGTAACACATCTTCATGATAATAAAACAAACATGAGTGAAAAAGGAGCAGAAGTAATTTTAGTAGCAGTAATAGATAAAAACAATCCTAGAAGAGGAGATGAAAAAGTGTACTAATGTTCACTAATGGTTGAGACTTTAACGTAGAATAAATCCGTCTACGTTATTATGATCAATTCTGTGCTGTTTCATCTAACGTTTTTAACTGCTAATTTTGGTCAGCGCATGGATGTTGAACAGATTGTTTATCATGAACTTCTACCGGTATATTCCAATGCATATGTAACCATACGGTGACATGAAATATTGTGGACCAAGCTTTGAATGCTACTTATGTCCGCAAGCAGAAACGGGAAGCATTAAGTTGGTAAATTAGTACATTGATTTACTACTACGTTACTAATACTTTTTAGACACCCAAAGTAAAATTTCAGATAGTCGATAAGTTGCAAGTACAAAATGCAGCAAGAGATGTTAACTCGCCTTATTTTAAAGTGGTAACTCCCCGAAAATTACTTGCCTAAAGACTTATCCTTGTTTACAGGTAACTCGATTTGACTGATCCTGCAAATGTTCCGGTGTCTTGCAAACAATAAAACAAACGAAATAAGAAAGCTAAGGTTATTATTACATTTCTAACAAATTAATTATGGTCTCCTTATAGAAATTCCAACAACGGATGAAATAACACGACAATTTTTAATCTCGTTCCAGCATTTTGCGAACAAACATTCTTTCAGCATACCTGTCCTTTCGCATTATTGCTGTTGATATGCTCTCTGCATTATCTCTATGTAAGTGTACATATTAACTCCGCCTGGAGTCCCTCCGAGGGTTACTGCCGGTCCCAAGCCCGGATAAAGGAGGAGGGTTGGGCATGGGGTTAGCGTCCCCATCCCATAGAAAACTAACTCGCTAAAAAAACGCTAACCAGAAAAAATTATTCAAACCTTTTAAACTCTGCCCCGGGATTCAGAAGGTCTGCATTTAGAAGAATTATGACGCCTCGTGATGAAAGCCGGATTCCTTCGGAAGTTACGAGGCCGATGCCCCTTCTGACAACCAGAGCAACCATTTATTTAGGTACATGGAATGTTCGTACAATGTGGAACACTGGGAGAGCCTTCCAAATTGCTGCAGAAATGAGAAGATACAACCTAGAGGTACTTCGGATCAGTGAAACACATTGGACACAGGTTGGACAACAACGACAAACTACAGGAGAGCTTCAATGAACATCATCCAATGCTATGCGCCTACCAACGACTACAATGAAGACGCTAAAGATCAATTCTACAATAGGCTGCAGTCAATCATCGAGAGGTGCCCAACAAAGGACCTGACCATTCTGATGGGAGATTTCAACGCCAAGGTTGGAACGGACAACACTGGATATGAAGACATCATGGGACGACACGGACTGAAAGAAAAGAACGAAAATGGTGAGAGATTTGCAAATCCATGTGCCTTCAATAAGCTGGTCATAGGCGGCACCGTATTCCCACATAAACGCATACACAAAACCACATGGACTTCACCGGATCACTCTACACAAAACCAAATCGACCATATTTGCATCAACAAAACGTTCAGGAGGACTATAAAGGACGTGAGAACCAAGAGAGGAGCTGATATAGCATCAGATCATCACTTACTGGTCGCCAAGATGAAATTGAAACTCAAGAAGCACTGGACAATGGGGCAGACAGTATCACAAAAGTTCAATACGGCCTTTCTCCAGGATACTAACAAACTCAACAAATTCAAGATAGTTCTCAGCAAAAAGTTCCAGGCCTTTCATGATCTACTCAATGGAGAAGAAACTACTGTGGAGAGCAACTGGAAGGGGATCAAAGAGGCAATCACTTCAACATGTCATGAGGTCCTGGGTCACAAGAAGCACCATCACAAGGAATGGATCACTGTTGATACACCGGATAAAATTCAAGAAAGAAGGAACAAGAAGGCAGCAATCAATACCAGTTGAACAAGAGCAGAAAAAGCCAAGGCACAAGCTGGATACACAGAAGTAAACAAACAAGTGAAGAGGAGCATCGGAACCGACAAACGCAAATATGTGGAAGATTTAGCAACGACGGCGGAAAAGGCTGCAAGAGAAGGAAACATGAGACAACTAAATGACACGACAAAGAAACTCTATGGAAATCGCCGCAAATCAGAACGACCAGTGAAAAGCAAGGAAGACAAGGTAATCACCAACATTGAAGAGCAACAAAACAGGTGGGTAGAACACTTCAAAGAACTCTTGAATCGACCAGCGCCACTGAACCCACTCAACATCGAAGCAGCACCCACGGACCTCCCAATCAATGTTGGCTCACCAACAATTGAAGAAATCAGCATGGCCATCAGACAAATCAAGAGTGGCAAAGCAGCAGGACCAGACAACATCCCAGCAGAGGCACTAAAAGCAGACGTAGCGGCAACTGCAAGGATACTCCACATTCTCTTCAATAAGATTTGGGATGAGGAACAAGTACCAAAAGACTGGAAAGAAGGACTTCTGATCAAAATACCGAAGAAAGGATATCTCAGCAAGTGTGATAACTACAGGGGCATCACTCTTCTCTCAATACCGGGAAAAGTCTTCAACAGGGTATTGTTAAACAGGATGAAGGACACCGTAGACACCCAATTTCGAGACCAACAGGCAGGATCCCGTTAGGATAGATCGTGTACAGACCAAATCGCAACTCTACGGATCATTGTGGAACAATCAATTGAATGGAATTCATCACTCTACATCAACTTCATTGACTACGAAAAGGCATTTGACAGCGTGGACAGAACAACACTATGGAAACTTCTTCGACACTACGACGTGCCTCAGAAGATATCATACAGAACTCATATGATGGATTGCACTGCAAAATTGTGCATGGAGGACAGTTGACAAAGTCGTTCAAAGTGAAGACCGGTGTTAGGCAAGGTTGCTTACTCTCACCGTTTCTCTTTCTCCTGGTGATCGACTGGATCATGAAGACGTCAACGTCTGAAGGGAAGCGCGGGATACAATGGACATCTAAGATGCAGTTGGATGATCTAGACTTCGCAGACGATCTAGCCCTTCTATCCCAAACGCAATAACAGATGCTGGAGAAGACAAACAGTGTGGCAGCAGCCTCAGCAGCAGTAGGTCTCAACATACACAAAGAGAAAAGCAGGATTCTCCGATACAACACAGCATGCACCAATCCAATCACAATTGACGGAGAAGATTTGGAAGATGTAAAAACCTTTACATATTTGGGCAGCATCATTGATGAACACGGTAGATCTGATGCAGATGTGAAGGCGCGGATCGGCAAAGCAAGAGCAGCATATTTACAACTGAGGAACATCTGGAACTCAAAGCAACTGTCAACCAACACCAAGGTCAGGATTTTCAATACAAATGTCAAGACAGTTTTACTGTATAGGGCAGAAACCTGGAGAAGCACGAAAGCTATCATCCATAAAATACAGGTGTTTATTAACAGTTGTCTACGCAAAATACTTCAGATCCATTGGCCGGACACTATTAGCAACAACGTACTATGGGAGAGAACAAACCAGCACCTAGCGGAGGAAGAAATCAGGAAGAAGCGCTGGAAGTGGATAGGACACAAATTGAGGCAAGCACCCAACTGCGTCACAAGACAAGACCTCACATGAGACCCTCAAGGCAAAAAGGAAGAGAAGAAGACCAAAGAACACATTACGCCGAGAAATGGAGATAGACATGAGAAAAATGAACAGGAATAGGATGGAACTAGAAAAGAAGGCACAGGACAGAGTGGGTTGGAGAATGCTGGTCAGCGGCCTATGCTCCATTGGGAGTAACAGGCGGAAGTAAGTAAGTAAGAAGTGTGTACATATTGTTTATTATTCGTTATTAGGTGTACAACGATGTTAAACTTTGTTATGTTTGTACACTTTACTGCCGATCAGTTCAATCATCACTATAATTATTGTTGATATTATTATTAACACTCTTTTTGTTGTCAGGAATTGTTTTATTATTAAACCTTTTAAATACGTT